TTACATCAGCCCCCCCCCCCCCCCCCCGGGCATAAGGCCTTTCCAAAATTTAGACAAATCTACAATATACTGCCGGTAGATATGGAGCACTTTGCCTATAGCACAAACAGTAGCCGGAAAAAAAACGTTATCCATCCAAGGCCTCTTAAAGGGACACTAAACTTGAGAGTTAAATCGTAAAAATGCATTCAAGTACCTTATCTATTAACAAAAATGTACCTTATATGTGTATCACTCAGTTGCAGATCCTCAAATGATCTCTGAACTGGTGCTGACACTGTCCTTCCTTCTGGAGGGTGGCTACTTTTGTTCCTCATGGTTTCTGTGTGTGTTGTAAAGTAGCCACCACTCCAAACTCACTCCCATGATGGACTACAATCTTAATACAGATTAGTAAACTAAACATGAAATTATAGTCTATCACAGGAGTGAGTTTGGAGTGGTGGCTACTTTACAACACACACAGGGATCATGGGGAACAAAAGTAGCCACCCTCCAGAAGGAGGACAGTGTCAGCACCAATTCAGGGATGATTTGAGGATCTACAGCCGAGTGATACACAAATAAGATACATTTTTACTTGAATGTATTTTTAAGATTTAACTTCTGAGTTTCGTGTCACTTTAAAAATGCGAAGGATCACCTGAATGTATCTCATATGTGATGAACATATACTAGAATGTATAGAAAATGGCAAAGTTTATCAACAAAAAAAGCATAAATGTAAAAAAAAGCATCCAATCTGCTGGGAATAATTGGAAGATTGACTTCTGTTTTGGAAAATGTGTACGCAAAGCATGTACTTTCATTTTCTATACAGTAAACAAAAACATATTGCTCTTCTATTGCTACAGTGTAACCTTCTGGCAGAAGTTTGGTTATTATGATTTAATACTGCTGTATGCTGCTTACTTGTATACTGTGTGCTGTCACATGCCTTCTATACCTTTGGGTTCTTCTTACAAGTTAGTGAGAGCTCTTTGACATTGCAATGTGACCAAATTATAGTGAAATCAAATAGGACAACTGCTGCCACTGTGCATACTGTACTAATGAGATAAGAGCTAATTGCTGACTGGGGACAACGGCAGTTACAATCTCCCACAATGTTTCGGCATGTCGGTGGCTGAAAGGAATATGGTGATAAAGGGGAGTTCCCGAGGTGATTCTGGGAGTGGTTACAATGGACTTGTGTTTGGAGTTTACTTTCTTTAAATTTTGTCCTGGAATGCAGTAAAATAAGTTATTGTTAGCCGCAGCCTGAATTTTACATGTGGACTCAAAGTAAACCTGTTGTCTCTGAGTTCTACAGCAACCTGAAATCCTGGGGTGTTCGATAAAGGAGTTGTCTGCTGGTTGCCATATTGCCCTGCCGTTTCTTCCTATTAACCAGTGATGTGGTGGGTGTCCTCTTTGGCCAACTGGAAGGCAAAGGCGGTTAGGTAATAGAGCAACCATACAAGCCCTGGTTACAGTTTCCTTTCTAAAGCCCCACTACTGGGGCACTCTGCAAAGGAGTTGCACACTAGTGTTGGTTACCCAGAAAAAAGACATCTTACCTTCCCTAAACAGGTTTATATTAACCAGTTGACATCCGCGGTGTTAAACCCCCTTCCCATCCAGGCCATTTTTCAGTATTCAGCGCTGCGGTACTTTGACTGACATTTATACCGTCATGCAGCGCTGTACTGAAATGAATTTTATACCCTTTTTTGGGGACAGCTAGAGCTTTCTTTTGGTGGTATTTATTCACCACTGGGGTTTTTATTTTTTTTACTATATTAAGGAAAAATCACCGAAATAAAAAAAAAAAAAACAGTTTCCCCTATATTAAATGATAAAACATTTATTATTACCCAATTTTTTGGTAAAATATAAAAGACGGGGTCACGTCGGGTAAAAAGACACCAAAAATGTCAAGCCTTAAAATTGCGTGCGCGCGCAAAACCGCAAAAAACGATAATACCCAAAATTGGCCATAGGCGACGCTTTAAAAGCTGTTACCGCTCATCAGTTTAGTGTTATCAGTGATTGATGGCCCTAAAATGATTGCTCTCACTGCGACGTTCGCGGCGATATGTAACATGTGTAGCGCAATTGTAATTTTTGCGCGCTGGGGCACCGGACGCGTATTTACGTTTATAGGCGCGTAAACGTGGGGGTGGGGGAGTTAAACATTTTGGGGGGGTTTTTTCCCCTTTTTTTATATGTGACTTTTATTTTATTTTACTTTTTTATGTGTTACTTTTATTTTTTTTTATTTATATTTATTTTTTTGCACTTATTGTTATTGCTATTATATAGGGGGATAACAATCCCCCTATATAATAGCAAAGGCACACTGACAGGTCCTCTTTATGGAGACATTAGGGGTCTCTAGGACCCCTAATATCACCTGTGGACCCCAAAAGAAGCTGATGAAGCAGAGTTGCGGACGCAAACGAGCACATATAGGCGATCGGCGGGCTATGGACCCGCTGATCGCCTATATGTGAAACACCCGGTACCGGGTGTTCGCATTGGACGGGTCTTTTCTGCCCGTGCGTGCCCGCTAGGGGGCGCGCGCGAGCAGAAAAAAAATGCCGTCTGGCGACGGCAACCCGCCAATGCGACAGTTCCGTCCGTCCGTTTTTCTACTACGGGCGGACGGCAACTGGTTAAAGAAGAACTCTGGAATAATAAAAAAAAAAAATCCTTCCCTTGTAGCGGGGCTACCCCTGCACTACAAGCAGATACACTCACTGTCCCTCTGAGCTTTTAGAGCAGTCACTGCACCCTCTTTTTCCATGGGCTCCGGCAGTTTAAGGACCAGTGACGTCATCACGTCTTACGCAGGTACATTGACTTGCATTAGATGTGAGGACACCCAAGGATATTTCATAGCTGAGGGGGAGAGAGCTGAATGCCGACTGCTACAGGACTGAGGATCAGGTAAGTTTATCTGCTTTAATTCAGCCCCCTAAACAGAATGAACACTTAAACCTTGCAGTGTGGGGATAGCCCCAGTGCAAGGGTAGGTTTTTAATATCCCTTTCACATAAGTGGTCTTCATGTTTTTGGGAAACAATAGATAGCTGTTTTCTGTGGAGCAGTTGATTTCCTGAGTTGAAAGGATGCTCATACCACTGAGCAGTATTTCTATCATAGCTTACCGAGACTAAACCATATCCTAAAATCGGGGGCCAAGTTCATATCATGTAACGACATTGCTAAGACAAGGCTGATTCTGATCAGGAACTTATACCACCTATCAGATGTCCTTGTATTCCAGTGTGAGACTTCCTGTAATAAAGACCAGTCACTGCTGCTCTCTCTCTGTGTGCAGGGTGACTGGTCTTGTATCTGCCCCCTCCTGTACTTTTCTGCATGTAGTAGGTGGGCTACTGGACCCCTCCCGTAGCTCTTCTCCCTGCACAGTCTTTGTACAGAACTGTGATGATATCACTGCTACATTTTACAGAGTACTAACTGGGTTCGTAGAGGCCTTCAGTGCACACAATGTAGATTTATATCCCAGATAGCAAGGATAACTTGCCATAAACTTGTGGCAGGGTTAAATTGTAAAACCCTCCTTCAGGCAGCCTGTAGTATAGAGGTGGGCAAACTCCCGCCCTCCAGCTGTGGTGAAACTACAAATCCCTTCATGCATCTGTTTCCGGGAGTCGTGGTTGCGAGAATCTTGTGATGCCTCATGGGATTTGTAGTTCCACAACAGCTGAAGTTTGCCCAACCCTACACTACATGCTGCCTGCAGAACACTGCTGGAGAGGGATAGATACAAAACCAAGTTTCCGGTGTGGAATAAATACACATAGAGCATTGGGATTTAAGTAGGAATACATGTGGCTCTTGTATTCAGACAATATTTGCTATAAATGATTCCCCACTTCCCCTTAAAAACCTCCCACACCCCCTTTTTCATCCCCAAGTCTGCAGATGCCTGAGCACACGGTAAGCCCTCATACAGTACAGATCGCTGTATGAATAATGTGCCTCTTCGGTGGAAAGACAGGATGGGTGTGGAGCCATTAGAGAGTCAGTCCACCCTGATCTCCGCACATTGGAGCAGGTTGTCCGCCTCACTCTCTGACACACGGAGCTCTGACAAGTTTCAGTGAACTTTGCAGACTGGAGGACCAGGAGGGGGCGGCACCCCGAAGCCTCCTCCTTTGTCTGATTTTAGGGCGGTCGGCCGGCTGCCAGAGTGGGATGATTTTTGAGTCTCCGGAAATGATGACAAAAAGGATTGAAAAACGAGAAAGAAGAGTGAAGTAGAAAAAAAAAAAGTTCCTCCTGCAAGGTAAAGCTGGAGGGGGGCGGGGGTGTAATGGTGTCCTGTATGTGGAAGACCTCTTATCTCATGGGATGCCATGTCATTCCTGTACTGGGCTGATAACTCCGCTGCTTTACTTCTTCTACGGAGGTCTCCCTCCTCTTCTCTAGCGTATTACCGAGCCGGAGCGCCGTCACGTGACCCGCTCCCCGGGGTGCCGCTAATTAGTGCGGTGATGTACCGGTGTGGAGGGACAACGATCACCGTGGGTGTCACCTTCGGCAGGAGTCTCCAAATGGGCTCTGTTGTTGATGGGACTGAGCTGCCAATGTGCCTTTGCAGAGTTTGGAGGGTGTATCTTTTCTGATCAGTAGTTGGCTTGCTTGTGACTAGTGCAAAGCTCAACAAAAAGTTTTATGTTAAAGAACTCCAGGAAATGTTTTTGTGAACCCTTGCAATGGGGGCTAATCCTGCGCTGGAAGTGTTATACTCACCCAATGCGCTGAGCCAGATTCTTCTTACACATGGCCTGGTCCTTGCAGTGTCC